TGTGTGGTGTGGGGTGTGGGTTGTGGGGTGTGGGGTGTGGGGTGTGGGGTGTGGGGTGCGGGGTGTGGGTTGTGGCGTGTGGGGTGTGGGTTGTGGGATGTGGGTTGTGGGTTGTGGGTTGTGTGTTGTGCGTTGTGTGTTGTGTTTTGTGTGGTGTGTGTTGTGGGTTGTGGGTTGTGGGTTGTGGGTTGTGTGTTGTGTGTTGTGGTTTGTGTGTTGTGTGTTGTGTGTTGTGTGTTGTGTGTTGTGTGTTGTGTGCGTGTTGCGTGTTGCGTGTTGCGTGTTGTGTGTTGTGTGTTGTGTGTTGTGTGTTGTGTGTGTGTTGTGTGTGTTGTGTGTTGTGTGTGTTGTGTGTGTTGTGTGTGTTGTGTGTGTTGTGTGTTGTGTGTTGTGTGTTGTGGGTTGTGGGTTGTGGGTTGTGGGTTGTGGGTTGTGGGTGATGCGTTGTGCGTTGTGCGCGTGCGCGTGCGCGTGCGCGTGCGCGTGCGCGTGCGCGTGCGCGTGCGCGTGCGCGTGCGCGTGCGCGTGTGCGTGTGCGTGTGCGTGTGCGTGTGCGTGTGTGTTTGTGTGTGGGTGTGTTTGTGTGTGGGTGTTTGGGTGTGTGTGGGTGTGTGTGTGTGTGTGTGAGTTCGATCGGATTTTGCACCGAACCGCCCAAAACAGATGCCTCCCAGCCAAAGGCAGCTCCAGCTGGTTTCCGATTGGTGGGACATGCGGGGGGCACCTGCTTGCGGCAGCTCGGTGCACCAACGGATGGAACTCATGCCCCCCCCTCAGGGTCACCCCCCTTTTGATGAGTCCCGAGGTTCGGTGCACCAACGGATCGAATTCATGCCCCCCCCCCTCAGGGTCACACCCCCTCGAGGTTGGTCTGAGGATATGTGGCAAGAGAGTGCCCAGGGCCAATCTTGCCTGGGTCGCCCTGGTCGGGGCGCGCCTCCGAACGCGCGTGCGCGCCCCACCGAGCCTCGGCGGCCGCGGGGCGCCTCCGCCCGCCGCGCCTCCGCCTCCCCGCCCGCCCGACCGCGCCTCCCCGCGGCGGCGTCGACCCGCGACAGCGGCGACGACGGCGGACGACGGCGGCGTCGACGACGACGACGACGACGGCGACGACGACGACGACGGCGACGGCGACGACGACGACGGCGACGACGACGACGGCGGCGACAGCGACGACGACGACGGCGGCGGCGGCGGCGACCACGGCGACGGCCGCGGCGACGGTGGTCTCGCGAGGGCCCGCGGGCGGGCCAAGGGCCCGCCGCAGCCCGCGGCCGACGGCCGCGGCGAGACGCCGCGGGGGCGCCAGGAGCACCCTGCGGCGGCCGCCTGCCGCTGCCGCTCCTCTTGCATCTCCGCCTCCGCCGCCTCCTCCTCTGCATCCATGCCCCCCGCTCCATGTTCGCCTCCTGCCTCGATCGAGAGGGTCAAGGCCAAGGAGTCGGACGAGGCTTAGCCTCCTTCCTCCTCGTTGTAGTCATGCGACTGTTCGCTGGTGTCGTACATCGTACGTCCTCCTCCCTCATGCATTATCCGTCCGCCTTCGGCACCGAGCTGCAGCGGGCCCATAGAGCTCAACCAAGCCAGGGGACCCGCAGGCTGACCCCTGCTATGCCGATAACGCCGCCAGCAGCTACCGAGCTCGCAAGACATGCGAGACGAGCCCTCTTCTCGAGCAGGGGACTCACCAGTTGCCCAGGCTTCCGACTCCGACTCCGACTCCTTGTCATTCTGCTCCTGCCCGTGCTGCTGATCCTGATCGTGCCTCTCACCGTTCGCATCTTGTTTCTCTTCCTCGCCCTCCCCCATCCATCCCCCCCCCATCCTCATCCGACGCTCGACCACATCTCGGTGACCAGTGGCTCCTCAGGAGTGTTCGAATCGAGCATCCAGTGCCCGAAACGAGTGCCCAGAGGCCGAAGCTGAGGAGGAACCGGTCGAAGCGGATGTCTCGATCCCGTCTCATCACCAGGGTTCCCAGGCGGAGGAGGCAGCGGAGATTGCCCTCCACCCCTGGCGTTGTTCCTTCTGCAGGCCCGCCCGCTGATGATACAAATGTTGTATATATATATATACATATACGCACACACCAACATACACACATACATATACCTACCGACCTACCGATCTGCATGCATACATACATATATACATACAGTCATACATGCAGGCATGCATGCAGGCATGCACACGTACATACATACATACATACATACATACATACATACATACATACATACATGCATGCATGCATGCATGCATGCATGCATACCTACCTATATACCTACATGCATACATACATGCATGCATACATATATGCATACATACATACATACATACATGTATACATACATACATACATACATACATACATACATACATACATACATGCATACATACATACATACATACATACATACAAACATACATACATACATACATACATACATACATACATATACATACAGGCAGACATGCATACACAAACTTGGTTACATGCACACGTGCATATATACACATACAGATATACAACCATGCATACACACATACATACATACAGACAGACAGACAGACATACCTACTTACATGCATGCATGCATCCATACATACATGCATACGTACGTGGGTGCATGCATACCTACATAACTATATGCATACATAGATCTGCAGATAGATGCATGCATACACGTCTACTTCAATACCTTCATGCACGTATACAGACTTATAGACGTATATGTAAATGTGTATATAGACACGTGTATGCATCTATGAACAAGTATACGCCTGTGTCTGCTTTGTGTGCTCTCTCTCTCTCTCGTGCTCTTTCTCTTTCTCTTTCTCTTTCTCTTTCTCTCTCTCTCTCTCTCTCTCTCTCTCTTTTCTCTCTAGATAAGTGTGTGTGTGTGTGTCTGCGCACCGCTTTCGCGACGCGGAGGGTACAGGCCCTCGACGCCGCGCGCTCGCTGCGCCAAAGCTCAGGGCGCCTTTCGCGCCCGCACGATGAGGCCGTGCCGCAGGCCAGCGCCCCACGCCAGCACCGCAGCGGACGACGGCCGCAGCCGACGCCTCAGGCCACGGGACCCTCCCCCCCCTGCCTGGATTGGGCGGGGGGTCTTGCCCCCACTCAGACCCCAACACTCCTCCAGACAGCCGCCACAGCAGCCCCAGGAGCCGGCACCAGGGCCGAAGCCAGACCGTCAGCCCAGCCCTCGCCCCGTGTAGGGGTCGAGGCCACGCAGCAGCTTGACCAGGTACTGCCGCTTCTTGCGTTGCCCTGCCGTGCAGACCGCAGGCGGCGGCAGGGGCCCGCGGCACGCCTCCTTCAGGCCTTTGGCCCTGTCAGGACCGCCCACCTTGGCGACGGCCGCGCAGCACCACAGAAGCTGTACGGCCCCGCCACCTGCAAGTCGTGGCCCAGCTGCCGCTCCTGGAGGTCCTCGTTGCACCGCCGAGCCCCAGCAGCACGCCGCTGCGCCGCGGCAGCACGGCCCCTGGCCCTCGGGCTGGGCGGGCTCCTGGAGCGGCCGCCACGGCGGGGGGGCCCCGCCGCATGGGCCTCGCCACCGGCTCCAGGGCGTGCGTCTGCCGCCAGTGCGGCCACTGCGGCCAGGGCGGCCGCCAGCGGGTCAGGTGCTCCCGCTGTGCCGCTGGGCGCGGTGCCCGCACCGCCCCCCGCGACCTCGTCCTGTAGCATCTCCAGCTCGGCGGCGTCGGCGCACCCTTCGGCAAGCGCCCTCATGTGCTGCTCGGCGCGCTTTTCGCGAGCATCTGACAGCCCTGGCCGCACACGGCGCCTGCCGCCGTGCCTGCTGCTGCTGGACGAGCTGGGCAAGCTCCAGCGGTCGCCCGGGGGACTCTCGCTGGAGGAGGCTGTGCTGCTGCTGCTGCGCCAAGGCCCATCGGGTGTCGCACTGCGCGGGGCATCCTCGCCGTCGCACTCCTCCCGGGAGTTGGAGCCGAAGGCGGACGGCCTGCCCTCACGCAGTCCCTCGGCGTCCGACGGCAGCGCCTCGTCCTGCTCCTGTGCCTCCTGCAGGCCCGCGGCCGCCGTGCTCTCTGCTCCGCGCCTGGGTCCAGCGCCGCCAGGA